AGAAAAGGTCCTTGTTCACATTTTAGTACACATACACCATTAATCGATTCAGTGATAACCAAGTCTAAACAGTTTCCAGCAGTGTGTGTACTAAAGTTGACATGTTGCTCTAAACCCATAGCATGAAGGCAATTTTGAAAGTTTGTAGATGCACCACTACCATTGTCAAGGTGAAGGTTGAAGTCTCCCATAATCAACAAGTTAGAGTATGTAGGTAAGATATCTTCTATGAAATTTGAAAAGTCAGTTACAAATTGCTCACATGTGGCTAGGGATGGGGGTCTGTATAAACCAACTATGTGTACTGTTATACTTTTGAAAATGAGTTTCCATATGCCAAACTCAAAACTTTGTTTGGTCCCATGTTCCATCTTTCTCATTTTAATTTCGGTTTTACAAGTCAAAGCAACACCGCCACCAAGTTTGTTCTTGCAGTTTGCAACACTGATTTTGTAACCGTGTTGATTGAGATCAGACGTTTCATACTGATGTTGTTTTTCGTCAGAATACCATGTTTCAGTCAACAAAGCAAAGTCAATTCTTTGTTCCCTCAAATACTGGCCAACAAAATTATCCTTGTTAACAACAGATCTACAGTTAAGTGTAAAACATGACACTTTTTCACCAATTTGAACACGTGTGTTTTGTATGTATAGGATATCGACCGAGTACGAGGTCTTTCTGTTTAGGAAAGACCTGGTCACGAAGTTCATGTGACACCGAGAGCGCGTAGCGCTCGAGGTGTTTCATGAAATTCGTGACCAGGTCTTTCCTAAACAGAAAGATCGATGTACGAGGCCGATATCCAACTTACACACCGTCAAACTATTGGCTTGAGCAATGGCTGATCCGAAACATTTCATGTAATGCACAAAGATAATTTTTAACACAGCGCATAAACAGGTAAGCTTTTATCAACGTTCTGCTTTTATATAGTATATATTTTGCATTTAACTTGTTTTTTTTTTAAATAATAATAAAAAAGCTAAATGTGTAATTTGTCAATAATAAAGTGAATGGGTCTGTAATTGAATTTATGTAAAAGAATGAATAATTGTGTTGATAGTATTTCGTATCAGTCATTTCAAATTCTAGAACATTTGCTCCCCCCGAACAGTTGCCCTCTCGGACGTATGCCCCCCTTTTTTTTGCTTGTAACTTGTCAGAGGTCATCTCGTGTATATATTTTATGTATTTTATTTTTTTATTTATAGATGCTAATTTTTAAGTTTTCACAAATTTGCGCGAGATTTTTTGTTTATTGAAGCAAAATGGAATTTCGACAATAGGCGATGAATTTTAATTTTTGTAACAAACAATTCAACAATTAAATTTTTTAACATTTTTAAAACATGGGGGTGATGGCAAATGTCCAACCCTTCCAAGGATATGGGGGGGGGGGCAATGTCCGCCACTGCAAAAAGGGAGCAAACTCCGAGGGTGCAACTGTCTGAGGGGCAAATGTCCGATACCCAGCACACCATGAAAGACTTACATATGTATATTGTTGCATGACAAGTGTAAGATACATGATCCGAAATTATATTCTATATAGCAGATTATAAAGTGTTCTAGAATAAAAATAATGAAAATAAATTTTTAAACTAAATCACTTATAACTTTATATTAACATTTCTTATTCAACATTTCTTTTAATAATATCCTAATCGTTTTTGTCGATATTTTAATAACTAATGGGAGATGTGTGTCCATTGTAGACCAATCCACTTTGAGTACTTGTATCTGCATGTCACTATAAGCTAGGTTTGGATTATATCTTTAACGTTCTTTGAACCTAAGCCCTGGATTCGACGGTTTTCAGGGGAAATCAGTTTTGACTTTTCGCGGGTTGAATAGAAAGGTAGGATAAAGCCAAACTAAAAGAGGGGGTGGGGACGGGTTAACGGGGATTTAACAATCTGATTGATCCTGAGGGTGGGAATGTAACAAGGGACTTTGCTATGAACTGTCGGTAGCTGTGGTTTCCTAGGCAAAGCGTATATCAAATTGACGAAATTTGAATCACAAATGAGACGGACATATTTATGTTATATTTTTTCGATATGAAAGTTTGGTACAATTTTTATTTACTATGAATTTTTTGTGGATTAGATGATTTAGAATCGTGATAAGAATGCGGTCGGTGATAACTGTTATAGTTTCATAGAAATGAACTTAAAGCACCCATTTTTGTTATATTGTGAAATTAATGACAGAAGAAGCGCTTAGATTACTATTATTTTGAAAAATGACGCGATTAGAAAAATGTTAAATGTTTCCTAACTTTGATATGCTATCCATTTATTTCATTCAAAGATTTAATATAGAAATGTTGGAATAATTATAAACATTATCTTGTTTAAAAGAATGTATCCAGATTTTGTCAGACAGGAATATTATGACAATCATTTATTTACATTTTATTTTCAATTTTTGATTGCATTTCATGTTTTCTTTGTCTACGCATAGGCAGGTCTATTTTTTCACGTGTTTTTCATGACCGGGTCTGTCTGACTAGAACAGACCTGTGCACGTGCAAAAGATAGACCTCATAACGGACTTTCTTTTGTTAAAACAGGTCTATCCGAAAAATATAGACCTGTCACAAACAATAGAGGAGGTGTGTAATGAGGGGTATTTCAAATTGTGAAGGTTTGCACAAGAAGGCTTAGTCAGGATTTTAGCTTTACCACCACGTTTGCTCCTTTTGTGTGTTTTGGGTTGAGAGATGTTCAGCTTATGTATAACACCATGTACACAATGGTCTAATTTATGAAGTTGCCAATTACTCGAAACCGTTAATCCTATTTTCAATAGCTGGTCACGACAATACCTGTACTTTTGATTTATGGTTGGCTGGTTATTGATTTCAATCATGTCCGAAATATGTATATTTTTTAAATATCTGTAACTTTCACCCATCATAAACAATTTAAAAAGTGTTATTGTTGCTAGTTAAATACACATAAAAATTAACAAAACATTCATTTACAATGTGTCACAAAATTGCACTTTTCAGCACCTTCAATCCGCCAAAAAATAATAAAAATCCAGGAGCACAGAAAAACAAGTCTGCCTTATACGGCGACAATACAGACAAAATACCCAGGTGCACAACTACACATGCTGATCAACATTCCTGTAAAGTTTCATGACTCTAACTCAAATACTTTTTGAGTTACGTGCGACACAAGTTGAAAATTGCAAAATTTTACTAAGTCAAGGGCAATAACTCTAAAAATACTATAAATATCCATACGAAAATACCCAGGTGCACAACTACACATGCTGATCAACATTCCTGTAAAGTTTCATGACTTTAGGTCAAATACTTTTTGAGTTACATGCGACACAAGTTGAAAATTACAAAATTTTACTAAGTCAAGGGCAATAACTCTGAAAATACTAAAAATATCCATACGAAAATACCCAGGTGCACAACTACACATGCTGATCAACATTCCTGTAAAGTTTCATGACTCTAGGTCAAATACTTTTTAAGTTACATGCGACACAAGTTGAAAATTGCAAAATTTTACTAAGTCAAGGGCAATAACTCTGAAAATACTAAAAATATCCAGACGAAAATACCCAGGTGCACAACTACACATGCTGATCAACATTCCTGTAAAGTTTCATGACTCTAGGTGAAAACCTTTTTGAGTTACGTGCGACACAAAAGTGAACGGACAGACGGACGGACACACAAGGGTAAATCTAAATGCCCGCCACTAAAGTGGGGGCACAAAAAACAAGAATCTAGGTCAGCTGATATACCAATGCATAAATGGAACAAACACAGTAGGTAATGCTTGACACAAAATATCTCATCTCAAGGCACAGCAGTTACTTGGTGAAATGATTTAGTGAAATTTAACTTTACTGGCAATGCAAGCAGTTCCTGTACAGAAGCAGTACCTGTATTTTTTGTTTAAATGCTTGATTTTTACTTGCATTCTTTAAAAATTGATATTAAAACAAGCAGATGTATGAATGAGACAAAATCTAAATGTCAGTTCAGCAATACGTTTAAAAAGTTTTTATTTTAAATAACTATCACCTGAGCTTTATCAAATTGTGACCTTGTAAACATAGGGGGATTTTGTCCTTGCGCGCATGCGCAAAAATACTTACATATGAGGCCTGTTAAAGGGTTTTCCACTAATACCACCTGAGTACAGATAAGTGGGCAATGTGATGAAAACCTGTCTAATTATCAAATTTCTTACCTACTACATTAAATCATTTTATGGCTTTAATGAGTAAAATATCATTCATACAAGCATGCCATTGCATATAAACGCGTTGGGGTAACAGTTCCAGGTAATAGATACTAGCGTTTAGTCTACGCTCTATTCCTGACTTACATCTATTTACCTCTGGGAAAATGGATTCTTCAACAATTATAAATGAAAAATATTTCCGATATAACAACATTGTATAATTATAATGGGTTATATTTTATGTATGGGAACTACTTCTCTTACAAAATAATGGATAATTAAGGTACCCCATATCAGGCCTCATAACTAAAGGTTATTCTATGTTTAGAACATAATGGAATTTCCATAATTTGTGTAAGGAGCCAAATATTGATGTGTAACATTTAATTTTTTGGTGAGCGTAATAAAAATAATTTTTAAGTAACTACGATTTTTGTATAGAAACTGCCCGCATGCCAGTATAGCAGAATTTCAAAGTTAGTGAAAGTTAACTTTATAGCAAAATTTCAAAGATCATTTTCAGGAAAATGATTTCTTATCATTAGTTATTCTAAGTGTGTGTGTACATTTATCTGCAAGTCTGTGACCTAAATATCTTCCTAATATTTTTTAAACATACTGTGGTTAATAATACAATATCTTTGAATTATTTACAGCATATTTTATATCACTTATGAAAATGTATTTAATTATTTGGATCTTTTAATTCTGCCAAAATGTCAAGTTTTACTCTGGCATTGCAAAACTTTTTTCAAATACAGCCTTTAAAATAAATACCTCTTCCTCTGTGTTGATAATTTTCTTGGCAGTTTTCTCCGTATCTTTAGATACTTTACTAGTATCATGACCATCCCTTGCAGCTGCCTCATCCAGTTTGTTTTCCTCTATTGCCTGATGAATGATTGACTGGGCCAAAATATCATCTTCTTCATTCTCACTGCCTGACACAGTGTCATTCTCATCTACAAACATACATTTTTATATCAAATTGACCATGTGACTCACAACCCTGGACCATCTAAAGTATCTGCATTCCAAATATGAAAGGCATCTGTCAATTTATAAAGGCTGTATGAGCAAATGTGTAAAAATCTATTTTAGCACTGGTGACCTTGACCCCACTGACCCAATGTTCCACATACAGGTAGAAGACCTCCCAAGTTATGTTCATACCAAATATAAGATGTCTTTCAAGAAATAATAAAACAATGATAAGATAGTAAAGAGTGACCTTGACCTTTAAACTGGAGACCTCATTCTTGTGCTCGACATGTCATGAATATGTTCAACACATTTATGCGAATGACAAAACTGTTAACCTGCCTCAATTATGTACTTTTATAGTGTGAACTTGTATTGCATTCAACATATCATTTAAAGTGCTACACATTTATGCAAAATTATTTCAAAATATTCATAAATAAGATTATGGAATAACAAAGTTATGTCTCGACAGAAGGACCAACATGAGATCATATGGGAATACATGTCCATTTCTTTCATTAATTTCTTTTGTTTAATACAGGGCTATTTGCCCCTTATTTGATACAGAATGAACTCTTGATCCTTTTTTTCTGTCTACAATGAGATGGCCACCTATTAACTTAGCAAAGACAGACTGATTTAAAAGCTATTTACTACCCTTCAGGTACATAAAACTCATAAATGGATATTGATTTCAGAAATTGATTCAGTAATATGGATCCAGACAGTAGAACAATGTCAATCTACATGTAACTAAATGAAGTGTATGTAACTATAAAGCAACAGTACCTTTATTTATATCTGATGCACTTTCTTTTCTTTTTTGTTTAATCTCTTGTAACCTTTTCATGATTTCCTTATCCTCCTGGACATCTCTAAGAGCTTTCTGTGCATCTTGCTCCAGTTCTTTTGCAGCCTCATTCAGGATCCTACTTACATCCTCCGGGCTCACTTCCTTGTTAGCATTATCTACTGTAGCAGGACTGTGTTCCTCCTTAGTTACTTGAACACCTTTCTTATCCGGAGTTTGTTGGCCTGATGTTGAAATATTGTGAGAAAATGACTGAGAATCTCTCAATGAAGGCTTGTTTAAATTGTTTTCATCTCCTGAAAAAACATGATGCAAAAATAAAGCTGCCACTGTGGTGATGAATACATCCCTTAAACCTCTATGATAAAGGCTTTTATGTAGAACCATTTACATTTTTTGATATAGAACATCATGAGTTCTGTTCTGCACATCGCCTTGTTAAGATATACATTTGAGGCGAGTTTAAAGAAAATCTTTCAACAAGTATAGGATCTATAGAGCAGACACAAAACTTTCTGACATTGACCTTGCACAGCAGCTGCATGGGTTATACACATTGCCTTGTTGAGGTAAACATTTCAGCCAAGTTTGAAGAAAATCCTTCAAGACGTAAAGGATTTATAGAGTCAACATAAAAATTGTGTGATTTTTGACCTTTCACCTTCAAGGGTGACCTTGACCCTGTATAATGGTGACATGGGTTCTGCACATGGCCTTGTTGAGGTGAACAGTTTATCCAAATATGAAGAAAAGTCTTCAGTGAACATGATGGAGACCGTCCGTCTTACAGACCTACCAACGAAACACTGTGACTCCAGTATAGCTCCCTCAACATAGTGTGGAGAAGGTATAATGATACAGCCAGCATGTCAAGTGAGAATTTCATGGAAATAAGTTGACATTGAAACAACATTGTGACATGCACTACTACCTGCATTAATTCAAATGTCCATATTATTTAATGTATGAAATTTTGCATGTAAAATGAAAATATATTGAGTTCACATATGTACAGATTTTATCACTGTGACTTTTCTCTTCTTCTTTTTTTTTTTTTTTAATTTATAAAAGTATTATGTGAACTTTTAGGACAATCCTTGTATAAATGAAATGCTGCTCAAAATGATTTAACTTAGACCTTATATATTATGTTTTAAAAGTTAGAAAACTGTATGGTGATTTTATTGAGAAAATTCCAATAAAATTCAATAGTATCAGTTATAAATGAATGCCGATCATTTGCCTTAGTTTTACATAATGCATACAGTAATGTGTAAGCGCAGTTTAACAAATTTGCCACTTTTTATTCTATGCTCACATTAAACCTTCTCCTAACAGTTGACTTTTCATGTAAATTAATAAATTAAATCATGAGTGCATGATGTGAACATGTACAAGATGTTCAGTTAATTGTTCTTACAACCTTTATTCCGATTTATGCCAACGTTTCATATGAACATTTATATTTGAATTACACTGTGTATTTAATTGTATTAAAAAAAATTAAAATAACATTTTATTCAGTTTATACTGAAGATAAGCTTTCCAAGGCCCCAATCAACTAAAAGAAAGTTTTGACCAGAACACACTTCATCATTTATAAATAGACCTACTTAGGCTACTACTTCAGACATTGAACCACATGCAAAGTTCAACATCACTGCAGCAGCTCCTTGTGATTCAAATTTCGTTATCTCTTTTGAAAGTAAAATGCCCGAGCCCCTGAAATTTAACATAGCGAGATTCAACAAAACTTGAAAATCCTTTTAAACAAGATATGTTTGTAAAACATGTATGCCCCCTATCAGCAGCCAATTAGTCATGTGATCAGGTTATTATGCATGACTTCTGACTTAGTGAACAAACAATTAATAAGGGTTATCTAGTATTTACTGGTCATGACTAGTCACAAGGTAATAATAATTGTGACCCCATAGGTTGTGTGCAGCAATTTAAGTTATTACAAATCTTACCAAATAAAATATTCATAAAATTTTATGAATCATTTAGGCCAAAGTTGTTATATTACATAAGACCTTCAAATGTGTATACCAAAAGCATTTTTAGTTAACTATAAAAATATCAACCAAGGCAACTTGAGTTGTTGAGTTATTGGTCAGAAACTGCCATTAAGTACAAGGTCAATATGACATTGACCCCTTGTTCCCCAAAATCAAAATAGGGGTCATCTACTGGTCATGACCAATCATCATACCAAGTTTGAAGTTCCTAGGCCTAAGCGTTCTTCAGTTATTGATCGGAAACCGTTTTTAACTACAAGGTCAATGTGACCTTGACCTTTGACCCCTTGACCCCAAAATCAATAGGGGTCTTCTGCTGGCCATGACCAATCACCATACCAAGTTTGAAGTTCCTAGGCCTAAGCCTTCTTTAGTTATTGAACGGAAACCGTTTTTACCTACAAGGTCAATGTGACCTTGACCTTTGACCCCTTGACCACAAAATCAATAGATGTCATCTGCTGGTCATGACCAATCACCATACCAAGTTTGACGTTCCTAGGCCTAAGCGTTCTTTAGTTCTTGATCAGAAACCATTTTTACCTACAAGGTCAATGTGACCTTGACCTTTGACTCCTTGACCCAAAATCAATAGGGGTCATCTGCTTGTCATAACCAATCACCATACCAAGTTTAAAGTTCCTAGGCCTAAGCGGTCTTTAGTTATTGATCGGAAACAATTTTTACCTACAAGGTCAATGTGATCTTGACCTTTAAACCCTTGACCACAAAATCAATAGGGGTCATCTACTGGTCATGACCAATCACCATACCAAGTTTGGAGTTCCTAGGCCTAAGCGTTCTTTAGTTATTGATCGGAAACCGTTTTTACCTACAAGGTCAATGTGACCTTCACCTTTGACCCCTTGACCCCAAAATCAATAGGGGTCTTCTGCTGGTCATGACCAATCACCATACCAAGTTTGAAGTTCCTAGGCCTAAGCGTTCTTTAGTTATTGATCGGAAACCGTTTTTACCTACAAGGTCAATGTGACCTTGACCTTTGACCCCTTGACCACAAAATCAATAGATGTCATCTGCTGGTCATGACCAATCACCATACCAAGTTTGACGTTCCTAGGCCTAAGCGTTCTTTAGTTATTGATCAGAAACCATTTTTACCTACAAGGTCAATGTGACCTTGACCTTTAAACCCTTGACCCCAAAATCAAAAGGGGTCATCTACTGGTCATGACCAATCACCATACCAAGTTTGAAGTTCCTAGGCCTAAGCATTCTTTAGTAATTGATCGGAAACCGTTTTTACCTACAAGGTCAATGTGACCTTGACCTTTGACCCCAAAATCAATAAGGGTCACCTGCTGGTCATAACCAGGCCTAAGCATTCTTAAGTTATTGATCGGAAACCATTTTTACCTACAAGGTCAATGTCACCTTGACCTTTGACCCCTTGACCCCAAAATTAATAGGGGTCATCTGCTGGTCATGACCAATCATCATACCAAGTTTGGAGTTTCTAGGCCTAAGCGGTCTTTAGTTATTGATCGGAAACCGTTTTTACCTACAAGGTCAATGTGACCTTGACCTTTGACTCCTTGACCCAAAATAAATAAGGGTCATCTGCTGGTCATAACCAATCACCATACCAAGTTTAAAGTTCCTAGGCCTAAGCGTTCTTAAGTTATTGATCGGAAACAATTTTTACCTACAAGGTCAATGTGACCTTGACCTTTAAACCCTTGACCCCAAAATCAATAGGGGTCATCTACTGGTCATGACCAATCACCATACCAAGTTTGAAGTTCCTAGGCCTAAGCGTTCTTTAGTTATTGATCGGAAACCGTTTTTACCTACAAGGTCAATGTGACCTTGACCTTTGACCCCAAAATCAATAGGGGTCACATGCTGGTCATAACCAGGCCTAAGCGTTCTTTAGTTATTGATCGGAAACCATTTTTACCTACAAGGTCAATGTGACCTTGACCTTTGACTCCTTGACCCCAAAATTAATAGGGGTCATCTGCTGGTCATGACCAATCATCATACCAAGTTTGGAGTTTCTAGGCCTAAGCGGTCTTTAGTTATTGATCGGAAACCGTTTTTACCTACAAGGTCAATGTGACCTTGACCTTTGACCCCTTGACCCCAATATCAATAGGGGTCACCTGCTGGTCATGACCAATCACTTTACCAAGTTTGAAGTTCCTAGGCCTAAGGGTTCTTTAGTTATCACTCGGAAACCATTTGGTCTACGGACCGACGGACCGACAGACCGACAAATGCAAAGCAATATACCCCCTCTTCTTTGAAGTGGGGGCATAATTAATATACCTGAACTCTGACCTTGAACATTATTAGGCTTGTCTGGCTGTTTCAACTTCGCAAGTCTAGAAGAAATTTCCTGCACAGGGTCAGGAAGCCTGGAGTCAAGCACAACTTCACTACTTATTTCATCTAATAAATCATTCATTTGTTCCTGTTGTGTACGTCTATCCGGGGCATGGTAAACCTTTAAAACAACATGCAAATTTATATACCCCACCAAATACTGGATATTTCCGAACATAACAACTGCACATCAAATCTGTGTTTTCATAAGATATAGCAATTTTTCAGCAAAAATCAGTAATTTGAACATGCAGGTTAAGGTTTTTTCAAAGTTACAATTGTTAATTATTCAACATTTACATTTTTGTCTTAAGTAAAGTCTTGTCCAAGCATGAATCGAAGACATCAATTACCAATTAAGAGCTAATTTTAACAAAAAAATCAATAATTTGACCCTCAAAGTCAAGGTCATGTAAAGGTCTTTTGAAGAAAAACTTGTACTGTATAAATTCAAATGATAACTTCGTGATTTATGAAACATGAAGCTGCATGCAAAAACTTTAACCTAGTAATCTGCCAGTGCAAGGGATGAAGGGAAAGTAGGATAACCCTATCATAATATAAATGGTCAAGCTTAAAAATCTCTATAATTTGTAGCCAATATGCTTCTATCCAGCCTTAAGCTTAATTTGAAAATGAACTTGGATGCATAAACATGTATGTTAATAATTAGCATTTTTGAACCTCATATGATCAAAACACAATCATTAGCATAATAAGATAACTTTACAATCAATTCATGTAAGATCTAACAAAACTGACCAGTGCAGATAGAAGCAGCAGCTAGTATCTAATATTTTCCATCTCCTATGAAACTATTGGCAACAGCCAGGTTGTGTGGAATACTGGATGATATTGTAACATATACTTAATAGTGTACCGCATTTACATTAAAAAGGTGATTTAACTTCCAAAGAACCAAATCCATTACAATTATCTAATCAGAGCTTACAGGTTTATTACTGGAGCTGTATCTAGAAGGGTCCATGCCTTTCACCTGTGCTAGTCTGTTTTCCAAGTCTTGAGCTGTCACCTTTGATGCTTCAACTGTTTTCAAAATACAGACAATGTAGACATAAGCCAGAATATGAATTATTAAGATTTATACAACCATTGCCAGAATATTATAACCCACCTAATTACCTAAAATGTAACAAATTCTTCTATGCAGATGTTGTCATTGGGTCATATTAAAACCCGTCAAGACAAAATTTGTGATCATACACAAAGGTATAATGTATCAGATTCATCAACATTCAACAGCATTTATGAAACTGTACCAAACATCCAAATAAGGGTCAAACTTAAAACTTCAGAAGTTGGTCAAAAGGTGAAGTTCAAGTATGCCAAATTGAAAGGGCCTTTTTTATTTATTTTTTTATTTTAACACTGATTTAAACACATTTTTTGTCATATTACACTAACTGGCTATTCTCGAAAACTTACCAGAAATTCTCCACATGTGACTGATTATTAAGCCTACCTGATATCTGACTCAGCTGTGAAAAACAAATTTATGACCATTAAACTCCAAGTCCAATGTCAAGGAAAAATTTTGTCTTCCCCTAGGGTTGAACCTGTGAACCATTTGTTGCCATAGAAACCACATTACACAACACAGGGAGAGAAGCAAACAATGGGCATAATCTCCATATTGCAATTTATCACTGTTTCAAGTTTCATGAAAATATTCTTTTGTTGCTATAGCAACAATATTTATCAACAAAGGAAGTAAATACAAATCAGTTCAAGAAAATTGAATGGGATATGGTATTTGTGATAGAGACTTACTTTCTTGAGGTGTTTTGTCTTTCCTCAATTTCTCTAACCTCTCTTGTATTTCCCTGTCAGCTTTGGACATGTTCTTGTGTTGAGATTTATGGGCTCCTACAACGTGACTGCCATGCTGTTTGCTGTGTGAAGGCTTATTACCACCAGCTTCTCTCTCCTCTAATGCTGCCATTCGCCTTTATAAACACAAAATAGTGTGTACTTGAAAAAGATCAACCATATGGTTAAAAAATAAACAAGAGCTGTTAGAAGAACAGCATGCTCAACTATTTTTAATGATTGATATTTACACAAGAGCCTGGATGATATAAGAATTATCATAGAGAATGATTTCATTCACAAAATTACAATTACACATGTAATGCATATAACATATTTATAAATCTTGACATTAAATTGTAAATCTGAAAGCATGAATGAAGTTTTAAGTGAATACAATCAGTGCTTTTTTTGAAAGAGTAACATAAACCAAACATTTTCTTAATTCACAAAGGGCCATGTTATTCAGTCAAAATCCACGTCAGAGTTACTGGCCTTGAAGTTGACCTCCAAAGACATGTATTAAGTTTCAAGTTAAGTCCACTTAAAGGTCTTGTCCAAAAGGGTTGTTGTGTCAATTATGAGGACAATCCATTTTGAGAAGATAAATAAAAAGAGATCAATGTGAAAGGTTTTGAATGGCCACAGGGAACAGCAATGAACATTACGACAGAAGCCATTGCTAGAATTTGTTCTTCTTTTATTGTCATAATCACTCCAGCAAATATACTGATATTGAAGCATACAACATTCAATAATATTTTCAATGTCAATAATAAATTGCAATGTCAATAAACACATAGATTTCTTATTCCATGTTTGTCTACTTGATACAAACTTGATAATACAGTTTTCAGACTCTGATGCTGTTAATTGCAAATGCCGAAAGTAGTCCGCTTTTTTGAAGCGGTTACTTCCCTTTATATGTACACTAACGCCAAAAAAATTCAGGGGAGATCACTGCGTAAAGATTGTCAAATGACAGGCGCAATAATTTTCAAGCAAAATAGTTCCCGAATGGTGGCAGATTTCTAATATTGTTTTATTCTTTATAGATATACATGCTTATAGTAAGCACCATGATTATTTACATCTGTGTTAAACAACAGGTTTAGCGTCGAAATAATAAGAGTTACAAACCCTAATTTAGAATAATATGGTTTATTTCAGGCCGTTCACATATAACTTCACCATGGCCGAGAGGTTTACACGCTCGCTTAGGAATCGTGAGGTCTGGAGTTCAAATCCCAGTTAAGGCAACTCATCTTTTTTTAAAATGTTTAAGTCAAATAAACATTGAATTGAATATCAGTGTTGCGATTAGTCTTATAGCCAATTTACTACAGTTAAAACACTGGAAAGCATTGGTGGCACTATACAAAAACAAATTGGTTTATAATCTCACAACCTTCACCTTTCTGACATTCTGAGACCCAAACAAGCCTTCTGTGCTTTGATTTCAAATTGCTGTTGCATAAAAAAATCTTGCAATTCACACTAAGGACTCAATTATACCTAAAACTGGGCACCTGATATCATAAAAGATTGTTGTGATACTTACTTTCTATAATTTTCTGGTGGAGAATACTTTGCAGGATTTTCATCTTTTGGTTTCACTTTTCTGCAGCAGAAAAATGGTTTTCATGATTTTAAGGAATTTAATTTCATTAAACATGTCAAGTACATTGCAAACAAATATTCCTTTCTGACAATAACCTAATAAAAGCTATTTGTACATGCCATTTTGCAGCCACCCAGATAGGGGGTTTGGTTTTAAAAAGTAGGGGATTTGGACCAAAAATAGGGGTATTTCTTTAGCCTAAAATCTCACCATCAGCATGTTGTAATCAGGTAAGCTTAAAAACATAAAATATTTTTCTCATAATCAACAGCATGTACATCCCTTCATATAGAAAGTAACAATCAATAATCAATTGCCATTTGAAAGTAATCAATTTTGACTAATGAAATGTCTAAAAATTATGAAATTTCACTCAAAGCATAAAATTATACAAAAGCAGGTGTCCACTCTAAATCCATTCTGTCATTACATTATGGACATATTTCATAGCAATAATCATTTATGGTGGGCAATTATAAACAGGACATATCATAATTGTATAAACAGAACATGTATTTTACTGAATAGTTTACTGTATTACAGATAAGTACTAATAAGAATTTCTTTGTATATTAGTTTGTTTCACAACAGGTGACCTTCCAAATATAACCAATGAACATTCAGCTTTTGCACTATGTGATATTCCAGAAGAAATCATTATTTGATCTGATCTTATCAATTTAGCCTCATTTTCATTTCAAGAGTCCAATAGGTCCATATCAAATTGATATCATACCCATATAATCTTCAGAGCCCAGAAAAGCTGTATTAAATGCATATCATACTCTACATTGCTTGTTTTTGTTTTTGATAATCCAAAAATCCATATCAAATCCTTATTGTAATTGAATCAACAAAGTTCTGTCAAAATATTAAAACAAATAAAGATTAAACATTGTTGCAAACATTACTGATTCTATCTGGCTCATACTCTGCTGCAAAACCTATATCAGACTCGGCTAATGCCTCATCCAATATACATGATTGTAGTTTTGACAAATGTTTAAATGTCCAATATAATTCATTATTGTACTCAAACAATAACATCATAGTATCGTCAATATTTGTCATCTATTACCAATATATTGTTTATATGCTTTGCACTGCCAGTCTGGATCAATGACAGCTCTATCTTCATGTTAAGGTAAAAATCCACTTAAAGCTGGATTTTGGAATGAAATACAATAACCGGCAAACTACCCGGTACTACAGTTTAAAATACAGAATTACAGTCTCATTAACAAAATTGTCTTACCCAGTCAAAATATTATAGCACTTCATGCAAACTCTGTGTTTCTCATTGTTTAGTTTAGGTATGGAATATTTATTTGGCATACATTTCATACAGAAGGAAAATCCACAATTCTTACAACCATGCTGAAAATAAAGAATATAATTGGTATCTTAAGTATAAAATTGGAAAATGTAATAGCAATAAACTAAATTCAAATTAATTTAAAAGGAGGCAAGACAACTTAGAACATTAAACTAAATTTTATAATTTTAATTGTCAGGACTTTTTGTCAACTATTCATGAGATTTCTGACATTTCTGCATGATTTAATATCAATTTTCAAATCAATTTTCAAATGTTTTTGTAGCTACTGCTGCCGAACTGACACTAGATTTTGCCTAGTTCACCGACACGGAACTCACTATCTGTGTGACTTGTAATCAATTTTCAAAGAATGCAAGTAAAAATCAAAAGTTTATATGAAAAATATGGGTACTGCCACTATAGCTTTTAAAAAGAAGTTTGTCGCATAATTATTCTATTGACTACTGGTTGGGGACCACCAAAACTGGACAACCACCAAACCCAGACGGACCCAAAAATGCCTGATTAAGTTTTTTCTTTGTTCAGTAGTTATCAATCTATCAGTCACTTTTTAATCAACAATAAATGCACATTTTTTATTAAGTAATTAAATTTTTTTAAACTGATGTAAACTGTAATATTTTAATGTCTATTTCAAAAACATTGACGTTGGAAATTTGGAGGTCAAGAGTGCTATACCTGACCTTTTGTACTAACTATAATCATTTGCAGAGTAAACAGTATAATATCCAAAACTTCAGCATTTGCTGCTGAAATATAGCTTATCATTTTAAAAATAAAAGAATTTAAACACACAAGCTTTTATCTGAATTAAATCAGCGTCATTACATATCTGTCCAGACACATGTACCTACTGTAGTGCGGACAATTGAGGTAATTTTGGTACCCTAATTGATGTGCCTCAGATATAAGTGTCAACATAATCAGAAATAAACAAACTACTTCATTAGTTAGGAGAAGAACCTAGCTGTACTGCGTCAAATTTTCAGAATCTCGCTTTAAACTTATGAAATCTGTATGGAAAAATGTTCAAAAAGTGTTCGGTTAATGGTCTCTGACCAGTATTGCTTGAAAATCAACTGCAAAATTATTCATTGAACAGTTAAATTCCTTTGTATTATTATGGTCTTGTGACTTTTTCAGTTATACATTTATACAATTGGCTAATTAATGGGGAATCAGGGTCAGCTCGGCCCTATTTCAACTCGGCACGGGTCAACTTGGCCCACTTTTCAATTTATTAAAATTTTGTTTTGTTTTGTTGGAACCACATAATTAATATCTTGACTTATTCATAAATGTGTAAAGATGTTTTCTTAAATTAGCATCACATTTTTTGGTAATGAAAGCGTTTTTTAATGATATAGGTAATAAAAACTTATTACAATCCATCCTTGGGACATAGCAAAATGCATCAAAGGGAACACATTTGTATTTTTTATTACAGTATAGTAAATAAAGAATCTGCAAGAATAAACATAATAAATTTTTCTAAATATACATTAATTATGCAGAAATACAATGTACAATTATATAATAACATACCAGATATCTCTCGTTTTTCATTTAAAAGAGCTTTCCTTGATAACATGATAACATAATCTAGAAAAGTTAATACATTTAATATGTTTTTTGTTTTTTTTTGTGTTTTTCTTTTTCAATGTGGGCCGAGTTGACCCGTGCCGAGTTGGTATAGGGCCGAGCTGACTCTTTCCCATTAATGGGTATCCAGAGAATTAGATCTATGCTTTTCCAATGCCTCTAAGGAAGCATTAGAAACCCTTGGGCTTGACAGTAAAAATCGACAGTATCTGGACAGTGGATTGGGGGGAATCAAATCAACTCTCTTACATTGAAATCGATATAAATAAGCGTATACGCGGCTTAAATGATTCAAATTACCTCTCTTTTAAATGCATTAAATGCACTACCGCATCCATAGCAAGACATTGTGTCAGAAACATCAAATGATACGCTAAAAAGGGAAATCATGTAACATCTTACTTAACAATTCAATCGCAACTTCTCGGACTAACTTCGGAAAATATCATTGTAAAAATAATAGCCGAGATGTTCCGATTGACTACCAGTCGCAACTTCACGCCAATTTCCGTCAAATCTCGGTTTAAGAATAATCTGCGATATGTTCCGAATGGTTTTGTAAACATTGCCAAATTAGTAGGATTCAACCTATGGGAGTACAGGCCCATTTAGGCATCAGTGATAATATGAAAAAGGCAAAGCCTCAAAGCGAGCTCGATGTACTTTTGACTCTAAATAGTATGAAATAATAGCTCATTTTTATTTTAAATGCAGTGACGAGTGCGTGTACTGTTGCCTATGTCGTTAAATGAATAACGAGTTTTGAAAACGTTTATAAAACTTTGTTTATTTTTTATCTCTATAATTTTTCAAGCGAAATAAAGATTATTAAAAGTCAAGTCACGTCAAGTCAAGTCAAGTAAATTTTATTTATAAGTCGGATACATCAACAATAAACATAAGCTCTGATGAGCTTTTTACACCGAAAGTGAAATAAATGTAAAACTTAAAACGTTTGCGACATTAAAATAGCGTAATTGATTTGTTTGTTTTGCACGTGCTGTTTGGCGCTACATTGTGACGTCACGTAAACAATACTTTAAACGTCTGTACAGCGTTAACGACTGAATAAAAGATATTGGTGTTCGGATTCATTTTCTTAGTTAGACCATTTTCTTTAATTCTAGATAGTTTTCACAACAGAATTCGACAAAAAATTGTTTATTTTTATCAGATTTTTCAAACAAAATGGCGCCTTCATACAATTTTATACACAGCTTCCGTTATTCTGGTTCCCTGTCCATTATGGTTCCCATAGACGTGCGCGGGTGACCAGTCTACACATCCGTTTTCAGTCAGAATTCCTTAGTTTTTATCGTTATCTTTAAATTCGAAAGGTTGCGATGTGTCCAATTCGGTACTTTGGACGAAAGTTTTCAAAACCATCACTTAGCAGGTACTCGCGTTACCGTAAAGCTCGCTTTGCGAGCAGGCCCTTCGGGCAAGCTCGTCGAGCTCGCTATAAACAGCAAAATTCACAAACAATTGTGCATAAAAAAATATGTGTATACAGAGCTTGTAGCATGATAAATACAAAAATAAGGCTAGAGATACTAAAGTCATAATGCGATTACATAGAGGATATTTGTTTAGTTCAGTGTAAGATCGGAATATATTTCACCGAGTGAGCACCAAAAGGTATATTTCACGAGTGGTGCAGCCACGAGTGAAATATGAACTTTTGGTGTTCACAAGGTGAAATATATTTCGATCTTACACTAAACTAAACAAATTTTCTTTTTATTATATGCAAATAAACGTTTTAAAAAGACATTAAACCTAATACTGAATGAAAAGCGCGCCAAATAATAAAACAACGTGACGTCATTTACGACGTCACGTCATTAAGTTGGTACCCAGTACTGTGCACGCTTGTATTTCACTGAAACAAGGTAAGGGGCTTAAATTCAAAACAGTGAAATTATCAAAGTGGTAATTTCACTGTTTCAAACAGTGAAATTACCAGTTTTATATCACTGATATATTTCTATAAACCACCGAAAAGCATGTAATAAAAATGTCATAAGACCTTAAAGATGAAAAAAATAATAAATAATAAAATAAAATACATAAAAATAAAAAATACATTGTAGATAAAATAAATAATGAAAATGAAGACAAGCTATTCATGAGGAGTGATATACATTTTAACGGAAGAAATTAATGTAAAGTATCATGTCGTCAAAAAGCATTATATTATACAAAGAGGTTCAAGTAGTAAGCATTATATTATTAGTTATAAAGATCGTTGACAGGTTATAATTATGGCCCGATATAAACGGCTTTTTGTAAATATAACCCGAGCCGTTAGGCGAGGGTTATATTGCAAACAGCCGTTTATATACGGCCATATAACCTGTCAACAATCTTTATAAAGAATTTATAATACAGCAAGCATAATCTTTAGAGAAAAAGGTAAGTTTTATTCATGGATAGATAGCAGCCGTGTATATAAAACTATATAAACGTCACGATTATCCAATGAAAAATGACGTTACAAACGTGCAGTATTATAAAATACAAACAACGCGTCATACAGTTTAAAATCTTTTGGAACAACAATTACAATGTAAGTTAAGACTAGAAGCTTATCATTCTTGCATTCTTGACACCCGTTTTCACCTTATACAATACAGCTGAGTGTGCTTGATTTACGACCAAATATATGTTTTAGATATTTCAGTTGAACTTAACCTAGTAAAGCATTGCTACCATAACCTCAGCACTCACACTTACATAGTACAATGGGCTTAACTAATTTATAAAATATTTGCATATCTATTGGTAGCTGCAAAGTTTTCGACTTCTTAATAAGACAGCAAAATGCTTTAGTAGCCTCGTTAGCTACTGTATATCAGCTATTTAAGCTATGCATTAACAAAGCAACCACTTCTGCTAAATGTTACACCTAAATATTGAAATTCATCAACTATTTCTAAACTTTCATTCTTATAATAAATAAGTAAAATTATTTTGTTACAGTCTCCCTTTGGAAAATACAATAACCTTTGTTTTCGATGTGTTTTGTTAATCAAGAGGTGATTCTGATTGTACGACAGTATCATCAGCATAGAGATTCACAGATAATTTGAGTAAACCAATTTTAATGGTTGTTGTTGTTTGTTGTAGTTGGGGTTTTTTTTGGTTTGTTTGTTTGTTTTTTTTGTTGTTTTTTTTGTTGTTGTTTTTTGTTGTTGTTGTTTTTTTTGTTTTTTTTTTGTTGTTGTTTTTTTTGTTTTTTTTTGGTTTTTTTTTTTTGGGGGGGGGGGGCATGTTTTTAGATTATTTGGGAAGAATGTGTATATCATTTAGGAAAAAAGAATTTATATTATTTTTGGGAATATCTATCTTATATGTGTTTTAATATCGTATGGCAATTTAGCATACAATTACTATAGACAAAATTAGTAAACTTTACCATAATCAAGATATAAATAAAGCATGAATGTCTAAATGAATTTAGGTCGGGTACCTGTCAGGTTTGGGAATTTTTATGGACCTTTCTGATAATATATCAAACATCTGTATCAAGTTAAAGAAAATGTGTAAAGAGCAGTGTTGACCAGTTCACCAAAAAGGTGACGTGTTAAACAATGGACGAATTGTCTCGATCTAACAAAGAAACATACTATGTGTGTGTCTTTGAGTTTTATATTCTCGACACCAGTTGCCCATAATTACATGTATGGGCGAGTCCTCTAGTCATTTTAGTTGTTTAAGGATCATGCAAGATACAGATACAGAAAAATCCCTCTATTCCAGCAGCTTCTCCTGGTTCCTCAGCGTGCCAAATGTTTAAGCACTGATACGCACAACCTCGATTTAAAGTCTCATCAGTAAGTTAGTTGGCCAGTCCAGGAATCGAACCCTCAATGTTGAGATCTTGCTCACTATCCGATATAGCTATACATATTGGCAGAAACATATTTAGCGTGTATGTTTAATGAGGGTCATACCGCCTGTTAAGGCACATAAAGAAGCTTTCGTTGTCGAGTACCAGACCCCTGACATGTTACCAATCATGCTCTTAAAGCACAAAGTGGTGATAATTTACCTCCAAGCCAATTCCATGGAATACCAGCCAAAAATGTGAATTTTGAGCCAAAAGTAGGTCACTGTAAGGCGGTCAATGAGAACCTAAATGTGTAGTAACCTGTGACAATAATGAAAGAATTAGCCCTGAAAAGGGATGTTGGTTTCAAGCAAAGGGCCTGTCTTACAAGCCGCCTCTCTGTGCTAGGGGCTCACATACCCCAGCAAACCATCCTTGTCGTCTCTGCCTACATATTGTTGGGCCACTCGGACCCTTGGCATTAGTTAGGACACCGACAGCTGGTCTGCAGTACAAGTTCTGATCTTTTTTGCGCTAAAAGTTCTTTTTTTTTTAAATTAGATCTACAGTGTATTTTCAATTTTCGCTATCAAAAAAAAAAGTTTGATCTATAATTCTAAAAGTGTCAAATATGAGTTTACATACCTTTCTTGTGACATAAAATGTCAAACTGTTTGATGGAAAAAAACTGTGATTGTAATTAAAAAATTTCATTTTAAGCTACATTGTAACCTTCATTTTAAGCTAAGCTCATTTTGAGCTAACCTTCATACTTTTGCCAACAATTAAAAAGTTACCTGTATGTCGAACGGGTAATTTATTATAATTTTTTAGGTGCTTAATTTTTCTTCATTAATCACATGCTTGCAGTTCATGAACTAACTAGTGTTTTCCACAGACACTTGGACTATAGACACCGCCCTTTTCCGCCCCTGAATATAAAAAACTAAAAGTATTATTTATTACAAGAATTAGTTTCAAATTCTTACTTATATTAGTATGGACGGTTAAAGTGTCTAACACGTGAACAAGTTTGAATAGAATTTCAGAACGTTTTAAAAATGTCAATTTTTTCTCAAGCTTCAAATATTTTGACGTACGGTTTCACGATAAAATAGACATGGTGTATACAAGTGCGGAAGGGGAGCTACGCACACAACCCCAAATGTTTGTGGTGCTTTCTGTTAAGATGCATCCGATGTAAAATATATTTTCTAGTATCTTGTATCTTGCCGAGTTGACAAAAAAAGATGATACGTGAAGCCACTTCGTTGACCGCTTGGCAAATTGACCAAGGGACAAGTTGACGTGACATTTATCACTATAGGGTTCGAATGACATTGTATACACACCGGTCTCTCAAATATCAACAGTCAGCAAGACCGGTGTACACGATGGTTCGAATGAATTATTTAGTTGCGTTTAACCTAAATTTAAACGTCTTAAGGGCGAAAACGAAACGAGTGAAAAGTTTTGAGTACGAAGTTGTGTTTATTTCCCACTCGCATCTTCTCGGTTTTTTCCGTCAAACTTCGGACAATAATTATTATTATTAATAGCCGATATAGTCCGATTGAAAGTTTGACGGAAAGGACCGAGAAGATGCGATTGTTTATGTCTTATTTCTGTAACACGTGAAATAAAAAATACCTTTGATTTCTTATAAAATAGTTTAAACTCTCCAGTATATCTCAATAAAATGTCAACAGTTGATATGGAACAAGCCAGTGTAGAAACAGATTTTGTGTCAGTGAAATCTAAAAAGGCAAAATCAAGAAAAAGAAAGCGAGAAGAAAAACAAGAACTTGAACAAGTTGAGGAAGCAGATGATGCATCAAGTTCAACAAATCAAACTTCACATGCAATGGACTTAGGCGATAGCCAGCCAACACCAAACAAAAGACCGAGTTTTCCACCAATAAGTGGAGACAAATTAAAAGTAATTGTAATTTTATAGATATATTCCATAATTGGAAGTGGCAAATTGACTCTTGAGCCATTATGAGCCTGTGACAGCTATAGATTTCAACCACAACATATTGTTGTGAGTCACATACTGCTAGCCTATATCACAGACACTTGAGGTCAGATCCTGCCCCCAAGGTGATACGCCCGTGTAAAAAATATTTTAATATTTAAACACGAATGGAACACGTACATCTCTTACAACGATAAAACTGTTTTTCAAACAATTTAATTATGAAAAAGATACATTATACCATCTGAATAAAGTAAAGATTGCAGATTCCCTTAACTAATAAAACCTTATAATTTATGAATCATTATTAGATAAACCTGACCGTGACTTTTTCCGGTGTTAATCAAGAGAATATCAAATTATATCTTCTAGAAGCAATCAGATAAACATTTATACATCACATTTTAATATGAAAATCAACATTTAATTAAAATTGAATGTAAATTTTGTGTTCTGTCCAAGCAATACGATTTATAAGAGTTCCTGCCTCTGCATTGAGTGCATCGGTACACAAACTTCTTGGGCATCCTATCGTCATTTCACGCATGTTAACTAGCTGTCTGCAAGTGCTCATTTAAAAGACATTTTCTTTGTAACAAAACTATTACCAAGATGCACAATGTGTTATTTCCCTATTTTTTTATTCTATATAGTCAGTCAAGATCTGACCCCCATGTATCTGTGGCCTATAAGACAATCTTAAGGTATATGGTACCCCCAAGTGAACCCCCAATATTGAAGTGATTACTGCAGACTATGACTCAATCAAAATTCTAATGAACAGACCAATAAAATGTGGATACTAGTTCTTGCTTCCATAACTTTATATGTCGCTTTTATTTTGATGTTGTGCAGCAGTAAAATTATGGGTCAACTCCATTTGAAAGGCTACCAGAATTTTGGCAGTTTCTGTGCAGTACATAAATAAATATTAAAAACACCCTTATTAATCTAATTTGGGTCAAATTAAAAGTACTATTTGGTTAACAAATAAATTTTGAATCTACATGTTTTCTGTAAAAATGAAACTTCAATGACATTGTGTACCCAACTATTTGTTAGGGAAATATGTAGAGATTGTCTACCAATATGGAGTCTGCTTTCAAATGAAATCTCATGGGACTTCAAATTTTGGTAATTCTAGCATATACATGCAGTGATTCTTTCCTGTATTTCACAGCCGAATAATAGGCTGTTTCCCCTAGCCCAAAAGAAGTATATTTTCCCTTAAAAATGCTAGTTTTTTCCCCTTAAATGCCCTGATCAGTCACTTTTTCATCAGAACCATGACTTAAACTATAGCAACTAACTTATACCAGTTTGAAGACAGAAAGCTGTCACTAAAGATAGCCTCTGTTGTGTAAAATGCATGTTAAACTGAATTGAAATTGAATTTATTTTATAAAGTCATAAAATGTGTAGGTAAATTCCGTTCTCAGTTGTTTGAATTGGATTTCAGATTTCCCCCTTTCTGATTTATCACGCTATATTTTCCACCTCAGACAGCCAGAGGTTGTTTTGAAAATTGAGAAAAAAATCACTGACATGTATTTTTAGTAACTGACCATACAGTACACTAAGTTTAATACTGTACTATATTTTAAATAAAAACAAAAAAATAATTCAATAATCATCACACACAACTATATGAATCAAACATGTTTTTTGGTACAATGTCTGTTATTAAGTAAATAAATGTACACAGTTATTCATAATTGCAAAGCCATGTTTTTTCAATTTAAAAGAAGCATTTCATCATGGGTCATCAAATGCCATGCAAAGGATCCAAACTTAAATTCAAGCAAAAATTGAAGTCATGTAATGATTAGGGCAGCAATGGCTGTGAATTTTATGATATGTAAACGCACGGATAAACTTTGAGGCATTATTTTGTCAATATAACCTTCTTTGTTAAAAAAATTAGACTAGAGTGTTCAAAGTATATCGAACTACGAGTATTAGACTAGTTTTTGTCCAAATAACACTAATTTATTGAAATACAGCATGACATAAATATGTTACAGTTCTTGTTAACTTTCGATACGGGATTGGCTTCAGCGAACAGGTCTAGCAGTACTATAAAACCTGTTTGCTGAAGTCTCTTTAGCTATGTGGATACATTTATATTACATCTTGTAATACTGCATGTTTGTAACATTTCTTTTGATGTTTATATAATTTGTATACACGGCTGCTATAGATTTATGTTAAAAGTAATTTCATTTTTTTCTCTATAAAAGCAAGTTTTGATTGTTATAAATATGTTATAAAGATTGACAGGTTATAAGGTTGTATATAAAGGGTAATTTGCAATATATACAAACAACCATTTATATAGGGCCATATGACCCTAAAAAATCTTTATAACTGATGTATTTCATACCAAAATAAATCTATCCATCTGTCTATTGTAATACTGCATGTTTGTAACTTCACCTTTCATCAGTTTTGCTTTTCATCGGATAATTTATATAATCTTTGAATATGGAAATTATGTACTTATTTTCAATTTTCCTCAAAGTAATACTTCTGTATTACAAATTTGTTATAAAAATGTCTGACATGTTATATTGCTGGGTATAAACGATTGTTTTCAATTAAACTTGAGCAGAGCTAGTATTATTTTACAACCATTCATATAACCTGTTAGATAACTTTATATCTTTAAATGTCGCAACCTCTGAGAAACCTGTAATGTTTTTATAGGTACTTTTATTGACATTATTTGCAAACTCATTCACATTTTTTTATATGAAAATATTTATTATAGGGTGGAAAAACAGATTTCAGAAAAGTCCCAGTACCTCAAAATAGATATGGACCTCTAAAGGAGAATTGGATGAAAATATTTACACCAGTAGTTGAACACCTACATTTACAGATCCGATTTAACCTGAAGTCAAGAAATGTAGAAATAAAGGTTTGTATTTTTTTTTTCATTCCATATTGTTAATGTATAAGAGGCAAGAGGGCAGTTCTTATAAATATGAATAAATATGAACTTCTGTCTACTTTCAAGTGTTAATCTAATAAAATTGTCTAGCTATGATTTTGGAAGTGTTTAATTTTAAGCATTCTCAAAATAGTTTAGAATAGATTAGATTTATAATTAAATTCAAGTTTTTATCAAATGTTTCTTCATAAAAGACTGGTAGGTAACTGGTTTTTACTGAAGTACATGTACATGTATATCCCATTCCAGACGCTAGTTATTGTCCGAAAACTATTCTTCTGTTCTTAGTAATGGTTACCTTGACCTTGTCCCTAGGGGGTCCAAATGCAATACCAACTGGGCTTTCCACATAAGGATGCTATATACCAAGTTTGATTACAATACTCTAATTATCGTCCGGAAACCATGAAGTGGAACGACCAATGGACCAACCTAACAAGTGTTGGTGAGAAGTAAAACGCAACCAAAAATAACTTAGCATTACCCCAGTCTGGCGGTGGCTTTTGTTAACAATTTTACAATTTGAAAAGATCATTTGTGCTGAATAATTAGAATTTTTAAATTTTATATTGCAGACATGCAAAGACACAAAAGATATTGGAGCATTGCAAAAAGCTGCAGACTTTGTTAAAGCTTTCACTCTTGGTTTTGAAGTTGATGTAAGATTCATATTATCTCATTTATAAGAAAATAATAAGGAAAGAAGTTGAACAATATTGTAAATAGAATCATTGAAATCATTGTGTTTGCCTTCTCCTTATGGGAACTTTATCAAGTTTTAATCCCAGGCTATTTGTTCTAAGATTGCCTGCTCTATGTCTTAAAAAGATTTTATATAAGGTGACATGATATTGTGATGTCATTACATGTATATCTAAAAGGATGTTCTTGACTGTAATGAACTACTTTTGCTAGAGGTGTAGGAGGATATCAAATAAACAAATTGGTTTGTTATGTTATTTTTGTTTTTCTCTACTGAACAGTATTATATTAGTCAAGCATGCTTCCCCTTGTCTCAGATATTTTCATCTGGTAGAAGATATTTTAAAATAGAAGTAAATAAATACAAATGTATATGTCTAGTTTGTCTTTATTTTCCAGGATGCTCTTGCCCTTGTCAGACTAGATGACCTTTATTTAGAGTCCTTCAAGGTCACAGATGGTTTGTACTAGTATTCCTTTGTTACATTTGTGAAGTATGATTTTTAGTTTGAAATAAATTTTTAGTTGACTTTTTCAAAGGAAAAAAGAGCTATTGCTATAGTCATGTTGTCATTGACACATTTCAACTGTTACTTGCAATCAGAAAGAGGTCAAAATATGCAAAAGTAGCTCTTACTGCGTTAGTCTTGCAGTAGAAATATAGTGATAAATACTAAAATGCAGACATTACTGGGTAATCCCAAATAACATGTAAAGTATTAATTGAATCCAAAATCTGTTTACTTTTTAAAATTTTTAGTACACTTTCCTCAAGTTTGATTTTCTTAACATATTTTGCTCATCTGGAGGCATGCAGCTTCAACATTTATTCAAATCTTTTTTTTTTCAGTTAAACCTTTAAAGGGAGACCACTTGTCAAGAGCTATTGGTAGACTTGCTGGTAAAAATGGGAAAACAAAGTTTACAATAGAAAATGTGACCAGATGTAGGATTGTGTTAGCAGACAGGTAACATTACATATATGAATTATTTAAACCAAAAGTATCTCTTTAACTAGGTTTTCAGTTATTAGATGGATAAATAACATGCTTTCATTATAGGCAAGCATTTTTGGGGCATCAAACATATGATTTCCTGTCAATAACTTGAGTTAGGAAAAAGATAATGAAATAAAACTTTGCATGAGGCACGCAAAAATCCTTGTTTTGTACGTTTTGTCAAAAACTTAAGTTAGGAATCAAACATAGTATATAGTAAGCTTGACCTAGCTTGGATGCACTGATTTGATCAGTATTTGGACACATCATGTAGAACAACATTATGAATTCTCATTCACTTTTTATCACATGTTAAATAGTTAAATATAGCTATGTATACCTTAAAAAACATGTATGGAATCAGGAGGGAGATATTGTTTTGGCACTGTCAGTCCATCTGTCCAAATTTCATTTTCAGGCTGTTTCTAAGCAAAAACTGACTGGATTTCAATGAAACAAGAGATGTGCATGACATTCGCATGTCCCGGTCAAACAATTATTATTTTGATTAGTTATACAGAATGCATGCGGATCAAAATTACTTTCTATGTTATTTTTTCGCAATTGCTGACTGAATTTTACCATGATTTAAAAGAAACCATTTACACCAAAAAGATATGCACATATCCTCCTCATATCCTGGGCGAACCATTCAATTCATAATTATGGCCTGAAATTAGTTATGCACTATGCATTTAGAGTAATTTTTGTATCAGCTCTATAAAATATATGCAAGATAAAATGGAACATGTAATTATGATAATATTAATTGTTCTTCTTTGGATACACATACCCTACAATTTTATGAGACTTGGACAGGTGAACACCTCTATTTTGCTAGGTCAGTTTTCCAGGACAACTTTATTTCAAAAATACTGTTGAGCCCTATGAGAGGGGACACTAAGGTCAAGGTCACTGGTGCTTAAATAGATTTGAGTCTTTTATGTCTTCCATTTTTGGTAGGTAATCATTTGGATAGTCCTATAACTTTGGTTGGATGAGAAGTGGTCATTTGAATCAATGTCAAGAGAATGAAAGAATTTGATTTTACATTTTTGCTCAATCAGCCTTTATTTCTTGACTGTTGTCTTACATATTTGTTAGGAAGGTCTTTCATATTTGTTAGGAACATACCTTTGGTTGTGCTTTATGTGGAGTTAGGGGTCTCTGGGGTGGAGGTAATTGGTGCCAAAAACAGATTTTTACACTTGCTCTTAGTGCCTTTATATATTATATGAATTTAAAAACATTGAGGAATGTGCAGTTTTGGGGAGCATTCTTCGTCGTAAGCTATATTTTCTCTTTAGCAGTATATCTGAGGTGAGTTACAATGGCCCTCATGTCTATTTTTAGATTTATTATAATTACCCAAGCACCATGTTTAATCAATATTTCTTTTTTAGCAATTTGAGTCATTATCAACATTAAACAGTGCCTTTACAAATGAAATTGCAGACATTAATATATTTACAAGATAATGTCATGTTATATATTTCTTTTCTTTATTTCAGTAATGTACATATTCTGGGGTCTTTCCAAAACATCAAGGTGGCCAGAACAGCAATATGTAATTTAATTTTAGGTGAGAACAGAAACAAGTGTACTTACTGTGATTGTTATGCTTAAAACATCTTAATACATTGTATATAGCTATAGCTCTAAAAATAGATTTTGTCAGTGCATCTGTTTTCAAGAAAAAGTCGAGCTATAATGATTGCATGGACTGTTTAAAAAGTTATGTAATTAAAAATGGTCCTGTCCTGTGGGTGATTAAGTTTACATAGACTTGTTCAGTAAAACTGTCATCTGCAAGAACAATGCCCAGAGTTTAAATATTTGCATCATCTTGTGGTCCACTACAAATGTTATATAAACCATGCCCCTGTGGTTTAACTTAATTAACATAAACTTACATAATTAAGTCTTCCTGTCTGAAATTACAATGCCAAGAGCTTAGATATTTGTCATGACACCTACCAATATAAAAATCATGCAGCTTGGGTTAAATATTGACCTCATTAGTGACTTTTACATCAAAATTTAAATTGTAAACCTTTTCTAGCAATCACAGGTAATGGCATTATGGCCCTCTTGTTCATTTTGAACTTTTGTCAAAGTTGCTTGCACAATTGTAAGGCAAGGGAAATTATCCTGAAGGACTGGAGTTATGCCCCTTCTAAACTTAAAATATTTAAAGTTGGTTATTGATAGTGGCAAGCTTTAGCACTGCATGAGGTGCTCTTGTTTTAGCAATTAAGCTTTGTTTTCGAGGATAAGTATCATATAAGAAGGCAGGAATTAGCAACAAACTAGAGTCCAGTACTTGGCAGTGTATAATGAATCCCTTACATAAAACAAAACAAAATTGCTAAAGTTGTCAGAATTTAAAATGTGCAGGAAATGCATTTATAATACATTGCTTAAAACATAAACTAGTATACTGTTGACTGGTCATTTTAGCATTATGCCTTGCAAAACTGCAGTAAACAGTTATTTTAATCAATAGGTAGGTCCAATACTTCAATGGATATTGCAGGAGACACCATTATTAAATCTAAATAATATTTTTGACATTTATTGACTTTTTTTTGTAAAAAATCATATTGTAGCTGCTTCACATTTCTATGTACATAATGTAATCACAAAAATGAAATAACACAATACTTCTGTAATTTCAGGGAGCCCACCATCAAAGGTATATGGAACTATGAGGTCAATAGCAGCAAGATCTGCTGAGAGGTTTTAAGATAAAAAAATAAACTATAAAACAGACATTGTTTCCTCCAGTTTTCTTATCCTTGATATTTTAGGAAGAGTAAATCATAAAATTACCACATCATCACACCTTTTAGCTCACCTAAGCACAAAGTTCTAAAGTCTGAAGAGATGACCTTTTGTGATAGCATGACTGTTGTGTTATCTGTAACTTCTAAAGTCATCTTCTAAACCACATGGTAGATTTTGACCAAACTTCACAGAGATGATCTTTACAAAAGAGATGTAAATTCAGGAATGATCTTTACAAAAGTAAAATTAATGGATTTAGTATGATACTTACTGTATGTGACAGAATAAACTTTAAAAGAATCTTAAAGTGTCTCCTCTGAAACAGTTTATCCCATATAAATTTTGATATTTATAGCATATAGCATCACCTTTGTATGAATCATGGCCCGAGGGTCAAAATTGGCTCAGCACTGGAGGAGACTACAGTGAAACTATTTGTCATAGAGCTTACATACTTTACCATTTGGATAGTCAGTCACATATGTTACATTGACGTGTATAGGAATCAAATTTAGTAAATCTCCACACAGATAAGAGCTTATATATTTTATTAGAACATTGAACAGTTATGTTCTATCACAACACGGTATGTTCTACATGTTGAAGCAATGCTATATTAATAATTTTATATGTGAATGATGAATTCTGGGATGTATTAAGAAATTTATATGTACAATGAATGGGTACTGGCCTATATGAGTGAGAGAGCTGATTTAAGCAAATCTTGTCACAACAGACTAATACAACAGTACATGACCATGCCTGCAGCTATAACTGTCCTCGGGTGATTTTTTGGCATTGGTCATTCATACAACACAGCAAAACACAAAGGAAAGAATGGGGCCGAGTGATATGTACTTTTCTGCCCAGCGTGCTCGGATTTTAGTATTATTAAAATTAAACTACCAAAATAAAAGTTTAATTCTATTTATAGTTTTGATAACATCTTATGCCTTTTAAAGTGTTCCTGGCACATCAGTAGGTAAAGGCTTTTATTCACCTAAAAATACAACTGCAAACTAATTATTGTATACAATGTCGGCTATGGGTGTGTGCAAGAAAAATGTTTAAAGAAAAGACTTGCTGGTGCTAGCCCTGACACGACCAGGAAAAGTCGATACTGTTGCTATTTAAAATAATGTTTAAATGACTTATGTAAAAACTGACCAGAACTAACAAGTGGTAAAAACATTGATGATGTGTAATTTGCTCATGAGGATATGTTTTCCTCGGTCATTTTAAAAGAAACATTGTAAAGTTTACAGTTGATTCTTTTGAGGTTAAAGTTATATAAAATGCATAATATTACCCTGATGCCTGTGCAATTAATTTTCTCTCTTTGCTTACAAACGGACCCCTAGCTTGTAACATAAAGAGCATATACATATACCATCGTGGTGATTGATCTTTAAAGTCTCAATCTCAACAACCATTATATCATGCAATTTTAGTCTACCAAAATCCTTACCAGGACAACACTAAATTTATAACAGGAGTCCGAGTAGATTAATGTTGGTTTGTTATACGTTTACATTAGAATAAATTGATAATATTATGTTATACTTTCCTATTATCTGGAAATACCACACCATTAACATGTATAATGCTTCTGTCTTATTCCATTCGTAGATCTTGTATTTAAGTAAAAACTTAAATAAGCTACTACATGTTTTGTTAAATGAAATGTATTTCGGGATCATGATTACCAAACAAAATTTTAGCTGATTGTATTATAAATTTTAGCTCCTACAAAACCAGCATACTGTCCACGAAAAAAAAGGCATAATTTTGTTTCCGACAAGCTTTTGTTCCATAGAAATCATAATACATGCAAACGCAAATATTTCCCGGGTCAACAAAATTTTTACCATTCATAACAAATTGCTCGTGAAATGAATATGACTAAAACAGAATTATCTAGGAACAGTTATTAGGTCACTAGCCTCAAACTATTATTTTTAGCTCGACTATACAGTAGTTAATCTTACCTATAATTTGCCGGCGTGTCGGCGGCGTCGTTTTACTTCGGTTAATGTGGTTCATTGTCTGCATGAAACTTCATGTGTGACTTCATACCTTATCAATCACTGTAGGTATTTTCTTGAAACTTCACACATGTCATTGATTCTAGAATGCATTTCCCTTTGCGACCTTAAAGGCACATTATGTCTTAGAAATGAATGAATGTATCATTATTTAAAAAGGAAAAAACATGGGTTTTTAAACGTTAAAATAATAATTTAAGAGCATATTAGATGTTTGTCCACCTGAATAAATAGTGCTGAATTTGAAATTATTTCTCATAAAAGTAACGAAACGTCAACGATGTAGTATTTTGTCCTCCATACAAAATACTAAATCACTATAACTGTATTAATTGCCAAAAAAAGGCAACGGGTGCAAAAGATGATTCAGGTTACTTGCAAATAAATTTCGTTTTGGAAACTATTATAGAACACAAAAAAAGACTTTGAAAAATGAACATGAAAGCGTTTCTTCTGGGGCACAATGGGCCTTTAAACAATCTAGTTGTAGAGTGTTCCGAGTGTCGCAATCCAAGATCAGTAACTTTAAAGCATGGACTTTGACTAAATTAGGCCTTTTGTATAATAAGAAAATATCTGTTGTGTGTGCATCATCAATCTTCAAAACTAATTAAACATGTTAAAGTCACACTAAAATCTTAACGCATGTCTTCGGGATCATAATTGGTGGTCACCACTGTCCAAGGTCCATAACTTTCACATGGATTTTGACTGTGGAACCCTTCGAGAACTTTGAATTTCCAAGTTAAGGGTTTGCGTGACAGTTCATCTTCAAAACTACCGAAGATACTCACTTGAAATTTGATACCAGTCTTTTGGAGGCCATTTTGAAAGAGCAATAACTCTAGCATAGAATTTGACTAAATTATGGCTCTTTGTGAACTAGTAAAGACAAATTCTAAGTAAAGTTTTTGCATGCGATACCAGTCTTCACAGCTACTGTAAGCTTTATTCACGTTTTGGGATTATAAAAGATAACTATCCTTTAACTCGTCATGGATTTTGACTTCACTGAATTATAACCTTTGAGAATATTTTTTGGCAAGAACTACTGAAAGTATTCACAATTTACTAGTAAGGGAATATCAATATAAAAAATTCAAAAATTAAGCGGCAAAGGCTGATCACTTATGGTTTCCGCATGTTAAGAACGTTAAAATTAATGTAATTTTTATAATGATAAATAACTTATGAATGGCATCATATCCGGATAATGTCATTATCGTATTTTATAATTTTGCTTTAATCAAGTGATTTGTATCATACGACTGGGGATATCAATTTAATTAACCTTCACTAAGAAAAGTTGAGCGTGCTGTCCAACTTGCAGCTCTTGTTTTTGACCTCCTTACCCTCGGACGGGGGTCAAACAATACTGTTTTCTCTAACGCGTACAAACAAATGGATCCAGCAGATGTGATAAATATGTTTTCTTATTATTTAGCGGTCAGTGTCGGAACTAAAATCTGTTAACGTGAACGTGGTCTACACTCGGCGCCTTTTGATCACAGCATTGCATTTCCAGCACTTTTACTTTACAATCTTTTTTAAATAATTTAAAAGAAAGTTATAGGTAACTTTAAGGTTGAGATTGCTCGAGTAATCGGGCAAGAAAAGAATCGGCGAATGACATGTAATTTCATGGCATGCATCTTTTTAACAAATATAAAGTGATTGGTATAATTAAATTATTGAAATTTCATTTATTCCAATTAGAAGTTACACAATGAATTCAGAAACTAATGTATATGACGGGATGTTGAGTAAGTTCGAGTATCAAATATTTATCTAACTGCTTTTTTGGAGTTATTTCAAATGTTTTGATCTGATTATAATATAATATTTATTTTTGCCAGAATGTTCAATTCGAAAGTTAATATATAAATCTAGCAAATTTCAGAACAGAATGCAATGCAAGTAAACTTTTTCTTAAATGAACCAATCTCTTCATTTACGGATAATGCACTGAACAAAACATGTGTAGAAACCTTTAAGCAAAGCTAACAAAAGATTGGCTGAAAAACATTATATAAAAAATTTCATTAACTTTCGGCGAATTTAACACGTTAAACAAGATACCTGTCACACAATTGATAAAACATAGTCATAAGTATTTTCACTTTTTTTTCAAAATGATTTTAAGATTCAAAATTCCTTTTGTGATGTTTACAGACTAACAACTTAAATAATTTTCATTTCATGTTGTGTGTACAGTAGTTATTATTACTATAACTAACGTTATTTATTTATTGATATTTTGGATAAAATGTATTACTAGTAATCTTTTGTTATAAATGCTTAAACATTTTGTAGTTATTTCAACAATTCTCAAAATATGTAGTTAGTGTGAGTTTATAAGTTTTGTTCGATGTGTTTTCATGAAATTAAATTACATACAGTTACAATAATATACTTTGAAAATTATGCTATGATTCATATAATCAGTGACGTATTTGCTGCTGTCTGTTATATATATAAAAAAATCAAATTCTGATTGTATAGTAAACACAATGTCTTGTCTTGAACTTACAGATTTCGTTACTATACAATCAGAATTTGATTTTCTTTTTAAATGAATAAGAAATGACTGGGAAAATAGGAAAAACTGTATGCTAATGAACAAAGTGAGGAAATAAATGGGTTCCCTCAAATCTGAAAATAAATATATATATCAGTCAATGGTAGGTGACAATAATGTAAGCAATTTTGTAAAGTTTTGTTGGCAGTAATTACTAACGCACCGTTTAATTTGTCCATATATAGCTTTTAGAGAATCACGTACACGTAAAGTAAGATCCATACGGTCTTTCAGTCTCTTAATAAGAGTAGCTTTACATGCCAAATGTATTATAAACACATGTCCAAAGGCTGACCTCTTGGCACATTAGGGGGGAAAATCTAATTTATAATTAAACTTTCAGTAAAAGTGACCCTTATCGA